GTTTTTACTTAATTATGCGAATATCACGATTTAAAAATTTTAAATGAAATGGAACAATAATTTTGGAAGTCACTGTACGTGATAAATGCTATATTCTCTCTTAGATAGTAACTCTTGCAGAGCATCTCTTACACGAACAGCCCATTGTTGTGGTGTTTCACGGGGTCTAATTAAAGATAAATCACCATATTTCTTCTCTATTTTACAATCTGATTATAGTTATAATAACGAGATTTTCCTATATAGGCAATAACATGGTTCAAATCATACCTAGGACGGAGATTGACGGGTTTAGGCATAGATTTAATATAAACCTTGTCTATAATGATCTTAAAAGTTTCTCCAGGCATGTTCATTAACGAATTAGCGATTTATATTAATTTTTCGATTTATAGCATTTTTGATTTATAGAGATTTACCGATTTGTAGTGGTTTTTATCAAGGTTTTACATAGTATAATACTTCATTTTTTGTGGGTTAAGCGAAGAGAATTAAAAAAAATATGTGTGCATGACAAATTGTCACGCTGATCACTTTTACCAAAGAAAAAAAATCGATCAAAAAATCGGGAATATAAGTGTTTTTCCATGCACACTTACGTGTATGTGATTGACTACCAGAGTCGCTTTATTGATACAGAATACAAATAAATTACATTATTAGGCTCGTAGCCGTGATACATACTGTATTTACAAAGTGAAATGATGTAATACCTAAGAACTTTTCATGATCCGGTTTTATTTGTCCCAGTAATACTTGTGCGAGGCATGCAGTGTCAGAAATAAATTACCCTCGGTAAAGCCCCGCCGAAAATTTATGTTATTTGCATTCCGTGATTATAAGGTCCTTAGCAAACCTGAACGAAAAAATTGATATTAATTAAGTCGCTTCCTTGCACTGCCACCACCGAAATATTCATGCTTTAATGTGTAATGTCAAAAATTGAGGGACCTTTACAAAAAAGAGTTGCTTCGCAAAAAGAACTTACAAAAGAGATTAGGGAAAACGCGGATAATAGTGAATGGGAAAAGTTAAGAACCAACTTGGTGGATCTAAGCGATAACACAGATAATTTGTTTGAAATAATGGATGAACATAAAAAAGTATCTGTTAATATTTTAAATCTTTTTGAAGCGGTTTTAAAAAAGTTAGAAAACGTAGTGGCTTTATCTGTCTATAGAGACTTTATCTCATTTTTTGTTGAAGAAATAGAAAAAAAATTAGGTAACGAAGTATGGGTTGTAGTAAGAAGTGCTATCAATAGGAAGAGGAAATTTAAAAAGATGAATTTTAAGAAAGACGAAATAGAATTTATTTCAAAGTTGGAGAAGACGTTAAGTAGCGTTAAGATGTCTGTTGAAGAGTTCGAGTTATTGATGAATTTGAAAACAAAAAGTAATGCAGAGTTTCACAAAAGTGAAGACCAAGATCCGAAAATAGTTAAACAACAACTTGAAACGACATTGCCTGACGAACTACAAGACTTCAAGAACCGCTAAGAAAGCTTTTTGACGCCTTTGATATTTGGGAATTGCCTTAAAGTAAATATTTTTAATATTAACTGTTGTTATTACTGAATTGTCACATATTAATCAATTTGCAATAAACAGATTTATGTCGACAATGTTTCAAAGATTTCATATCGCTTTTTGTTTATAGATGAAAGTAACATTTTCCTGATACTGCACCAGACTTTAATTATTTCATTGCACCTATTGTACGCGTGATGATGGTCAGTGATGGTCAGTGATTTTCTCGGCGAAGACCAAAATGTCGATATATAACAAGAAAAGTAATATGTCTGTTCTAATGTTACTGCGCATTTATTCATTAAGTTCTGGATCAATGATCTCATTACAATAAAAGATATATTAACATACTGTACATGCTCGCTTCACTTTCCACAATCCATAAATCTCATAACCCACTCCATTATATATCTGAATTTGGTAAATTAATTGCGTCTTGTTTTATTGATCGTATGAAAAAAATTCATGACACAAATGATAAAATAATTTTATTCAGTATATGTGTTGAAATAGCAAATTATACGGTTTAAATTATGTTGGAAAAAAAAACTATTTTTTACAACCTTTTTTCTTTACCTCCCCCTTTGTGTAATTTTGGTTCCAGAATCGTATATATATTCTTATATTTTGTTATAAATATCATTATAATCAATTTTACGTACAAACAGTTTGTTACTGCCGTTGTGCTACTGTGGATATTGCTGATGCGATTGCCGTCATAACTACTGATGATGCAGTTCAGTATTTTTGCAATGATAAATTTTAATTGATAATAATATATAGTCATAATACTTGTTTTCTTGCTCTAGGTCCAGCACCAAGATAAGAACAGGATGTTAAACCGTTACATGACCCCATTTTTTTTTTTTTCTGAACTCCATTCCATAGCAAATCAATTTTATCTTCACGAAGGCAAATGACAAATTCCGCACCAAATTTGTAAATGACATTACTTGCCTGATATCAAAGATAAAAAGTATAAATTAGAGTATGCCAAATAGGAAATAATAAAAAAAATAATTAGTAAATAACGAAATGGAATGAATGGAAAATAATATTTTGTATAATTCATAATTTTGTTCAATACCATTTTCCTTGCCAAATTCAATTAATTTTTTTTGTCAAGTATTTATTTGCTCCTCCTCAGCGTTCCTTTTTTCCTTTAACTCTTCTTTTTATTTTCTAAATTGTCTCTCAGCACTTCCCTCCCTTTCTTCTGTTCGTCAGTCCTCCAATTTCGGTCCAACAACTTGTTCTCTAACTCGTCTAATCTCTCCTGTTTTATTTCCCTCCTCCCACTTATTCAACATTTACTCCGCAATTCTCATTATCTACTCGGCGTTTACCAGTTTTTCTTTTGTAGTCATTTTCATTCAAGGTGAAATTTTAAAATTTTATCGGATCGGGGATGGGAAATAACCAATTAACCGGTTAGTTAACCATGCAGATCATCCAACATAAATTAAACAAAAGCTTTTCGAAATATATTTTTTTGATTATTAAAAAATGAATAACTTGAATAAAAGACAGCAAATACTTTCGCTTTATAAACAAATTTTGATAGAATCATCAAAATTCTTTGATAATAATGCAAGGTAATAATATAACTTTATGTATTTATAAAGATATGATTCAATATTGAATAAATAGAATTCAATTTTTGATATTTAAGGAATTTTCTTAAGGAAAGAACAAGATCAAGGTTTAAAGAATACAAGAAGGAAACGAATGAAAAAAGAATCACGAAGAAATGGGCTGAAGCGCGAAAGGTCAACTAATTTACGTAATGTAATCATGTGAATTTCAAGATCAATATATAATTTTCTCCTTTTTGTTGTTACGTTTTTTAGGCATTGAATCAATTAAAAAGAGCTAATGTATTTGATGTCAAAGCAGTCATGCGCGTGCTCGAATTGACTTACGGAAGAAGTGGTCCAAAAAGATATGAGTTGCTTAAGGTCCATTTTCTAAAAATTCTCAAGTGATATTTTTCATCAATATGTTTTGCAACATATTTAACTTTTTATTATTATGATGAATGATCAATTAGACTTGTATCAATTATCCTAGCCCATCTCCTCAGCCCTTTCTTCGTAAAGTTCCAAGAACTGCCCCACCACGCATTTCACCATCACTTCAAGCATTATTATCATCACAGGATAAATCTCTTTATCCAATTTTACCCGAGCCAAAACATAAGCCACTACATCCGCGTCGAAAAGCGAATATCATGTGGTGGCATTACTCTAAAATTATGAAACAAGTAATGCCACCGGTTACCAAAGAAGAGTTAGAAATATTAGAACAAAAAGCTGGGAAAGGCACGTTGTCATCTGAAGGTTTAGCAAGGATTGGAAGGAATTTTGTTATTAAAGATAAGAGTAGTATGACTTTGAGGCTTCCAAACATTCCTAATATGCCAAAGACTCCACGTGACCTTGTTAAAGAAGTACCATATCATACAGCGAGACCACATAATCCGAGAAAAAGGTTTATAAGGAGGATTTATCAAAGGTTATTGACCAAAATACCCATCATGCAAGAAATTCCGAAATCAATTACTTCCCCACTCTCATCCTCGCCCTCACCTTCACCTTTACCTTCAGATTCTCTTCCTAAAACCAATGTTAAAGATAAAAAGTCTCTTCCCAAAATTAAAAAATCTGATAAAGAGGACCCAAAATTACACATTGGAAACAATAAACCTGACAAAAATTACATCAATCATCCTATTAACCCACCTGATCCAAGTAAAATTTTTGTCATTACTAAGTCTCCTTGGGCAGATGGACGTCCAATAGCTTTAGTTAAAAAGATTGATTGGAAAGGATTAAACCCTGAAGAAGTGGAAAATCAAATCGGCGGTGACGGAAAAAAAGGACGAAGCAAAAGGAAAAAGGTCAAAGGAATAAATATAGAGATAAGATCGAAATAAAATTACACGTGATATATTTATGTATCCTCAAACTTAAATCCTCTGACACATGCAGTAGATCATATGTCAAATATTTTTATACGCAGATCTCGTTTGTTCAAAAAAAAAAAAAAAAAAAAAAATGGTGCAGAGTTTAAACCTTACGGCTATTGTTAATTCATTAAAAGTTTTTAGAAATGTACACTTATGTATTCCTCATCTTATTGTTGATGGTAATAAACTATAACTATGAAGTTTATAAATATATTTTAGCGTTAATAATTACTTTCAAATTAGATATTCGAGATATAAATTTTTATAAATTAAAAGGCATTGGTATAACTGCATTGGCATTTGATAAAGATAATACGCTAACTTCTCCTTATTCCAATGAACTTTATCCACCTTTTAAGGTATTTTATCCTGCATAAGATCTAACCATTAATTTTATTTAAAAAAATTTGTTTTTTGAAATCCGTTTAAAGGATGCTTGGAAAGAGGGCAAAGAAGAGTTTGGAAATGAAAATATAGTAGTTGTATCAAATAGTGTAGGAACTAATGATGATCCAGGATTTACTCAGGTGATATTTCTTTATTCGCTATATCACAATTTATTGTTAATAATTAATATTTTTAAATTTAATAAGGCCAAAGTAGTCGAAAAAAGTTTAGGTAATTTATGAAGACTTTTGCGTACAGTTTGCTTTGAATTTATTTGGTCTAATGGTACTTTATTTGGTCAGGCGTTAATGTATTACGACACAAATTAAAGGTAAAAACCCATAAAATAACTTGCATTAAACATATCTTACGATAGCTTTTTCAATTCAAATAGAAACCTTCTTGTGGACACGAATTGATTTCTCATTTTGCAGCACATAATCCATATACAATAGCAGTTATAGGAGATCGCATGTTTACGGATGTGTTGTTTGGGAATTTGAATGGGATGTTTACTATATTTACAAAAAGCATCATTTCTGAAAAACGGGATAATTTCATGGCTGCAATGGTATTATTATTTTTTTTTTAAAAAAAAAAAAAATCACTTAATAATTTTAAATAGACAATATTTTAAAAAAAAAAATCATAGGTACGTCGTGTTGAACATAAAATATTGGATTATTATGTTTCTAAAGGTATAAAACCTCAATTTCATCCATTTTTAAAGAACGAGGATTTCATATGTTTGAAAAAAAGTTAATAAAAATGAACTATAAGATAATTATTATATTGATAAAGAAATGTTTGTGTGCATATTTAATGAGATAGAATTTTGAAAATGCAATAATCAAGAAATCAAAGATTTTGGGCATTCTTAAACTGGGTAAATTCTTATCCTGAAATTTGATTGGACGAGTGTCAAGAAAGCGCTTCCAAAATTATTGGTTAAATAAATTAGAATTAAAAAGGTTTAGGTAGGAAAAACGATTTAAAAAACTGTAATTGTCCCCGATTTAAGGCGTAGTTAGAAAGTAAAGCGATAAAATTGATCGTGACTAGTTCGAAAACGATGCTTTTAACCAATAAGCATAACAAGAGTATATAGTCCATTTTATGCCTATAAACGTGAGAAAATTTTAGGTGAAAAAAAACCGAATGAATAACTTAATATCTTTTTACATACCCGTTACTCGAATGCCCATGATGAAGACTTCTTCAAGCTCATCGTTTCTAAATTGTTGTAATTTCCTCCGAAACATTTCCAAACAATATTTCAAAACTACCTTAATCTTTGAATGATCCTCTCGAAATTTTTTATCATCCATAGAACCTTCAGTGTTTCCTACTTCGAACATTGTTTATCTATTATCAATCCGATTAAAGAGCGCAATAACTTCTTTGAATAGAAAGTGTCTTTATACATCATTATGAAGAATTGCAGCTTTATCTCGTGCTTTCTTGTTTAATGAAAGATGGGTACTTGTAAAATTGGAGCTAACGTTTGATTTCGGCCATAATGTCCTCAAGTTTTTCAGATGTCACCGATGTGCATTTTTCTTCTAAAAGATCAAGGCAACCGAAGACGAATCATTTAGAGTAATTAGTTCTACTTAAGTAGTTAGAAACCCCGTCCAGAATGTTCATGCTAAAAAAAGATTATAATCAACACTATTATATTGGCTTAAGAGTAATGTCAATAATTAACAAATCATTTTTTTAAAAATATTCTGGAAAGGAGAGGTCCACTATAAACGGAATCGTTCTAATGCATCGTGTGATACCATAGATGCAATCAAACCCAAAACGAGTATAAACGTTGAGTATTCACAGGTAAAGGACGCGTTACATATTTAGTTCGCGATATCGATCGACAGTCACGACTTACGTATTTAAAAATTTCAAATTCTATTGGTTGATGAAATAGCGTTATCACGTGATATATTAATGAATTAAAGCTGATTTTTTCCGAGAAATATAATGAGGCATTTATCAGTGATGGGAATGTGGTCGCGACGTATTTCGTCACGGTTTATAAGTGATGAAATAAAACTTTTTTCAGGAATGCTATAGATCAAGGTTGACCACATGAAAAAAAAATTTATTGTCAGGTAATACGCATTTGCTTAGGATTCTTTGATTTAACGATATAGAATTGACCTTTTTATTGATTTCTTTTCGTTTAACTTGGACAATAGTAAATCTTCGATCTAACTCAAAATATTTTATATGTTTTGTGTAATTAATTACAGCCTAAGAATCGAATTTGGAATTTTTGCGTGATTCCGGATTTATTGTTTGAAAAAAAAAATTCATTAATACGTAATCGCAGAACTATTAGCAATAAAAATCATCCCTTATATTAACTACCCACCTGAAAATTTCGGCTAATTTACATTCCCTTCATCTGAAAGGTAAAAGATTAACATGGGCCACTCCCCAAACCATTACACAGCTAAAGATGAGATGGATAAAACTCGGAAATATACGTTGCTTATGCAATAAGGAATTTTTATTTAGAATATACGTTTAACATGCGTTTAAGATAAAAAATACTTGAATATTAATTATTTAACAAAGTGGAACCAAATGAAAAAATTAAAGTAAAATTTTTGAATTAATGTGTATAAAATGTAGTGAATTAACCATTTCATGTAGTTTTGTGCAAACTAAATGAAATGGTTTATTTCACACATTAATACTTCAAACATTAAATCAATATTTGCTCGATCCTCCAATATTCCAACAATTATTTCTAAAATCTTTTATTTAGGCTTATACCTTTCTTCGGTCATCTTCAAAATGCTTCGACCGGTAATCTTTTGCATTTCGAAGCATTTGAAAATCATCATTGTCAAGATGATTATATCCTTTTTTGCAAAATAACTCCTTGGCATTTATGTGGCAAAAAAAAATTATGTTACACGGGACCCAAGGACGATGATTCGCGGAATCACGTGAAATTCTAATTTTTTTAATTAAATCACAGAATCAGAATGTTCAAACAGCGTCACATTACATTACACGTAAAAATCACTATTTTAATATTTACAAAAAAAACGTGATCTATAATTTACCAACCTCGATCCTTAAATAGATTTAATTCAAGAAGGCTAAATGAAACTTTTTTTCAATTATACGTAGTTTTACCAAATATTCAACTTGGTCTTGATTGAGATTACTACTAAGCGATCATTTCAAATCAAAACAAAATGTATGAAACCTGGGAATTTGTTGAATCTCAACGACCTATACTTAATTTGGTCGATAGATTTAGTTCACTCACTGTTTCCGCTTCGCAAAGATCATTTATAGTTAACTTTCCTTGTGAAGTTTTTATTGATATTTGTAAATTTCTTCCTCCGGTTGACCTTGTTACTCTTTCCGTTGTTTGTAAAAAGTTTCGAAATTGGTTAGTTGCGCGTTCAAACTTTGGAACTGAGCAGATTTGGAGAATGGCAAGGATCAGCTGGTTACCACATCTCCGGACACCACCTAAGGGAATGTCGGAGCAATGTTATGTTTTCTTAAATTTAATTGAATTGGGTTGTCAATTTTGTGGTAGTGGCAAGGTTTATCCAAATGGTCAATTGCCATACGATACTCCAGCAAAGATTTATTGGTGTTTCCGAGTTCGTTGTTGCCAACGATGCTTTTTGGAAAAAACAGTAACGTATGATGCCAAATTTTTTGAATACTTAATGTGTTTGAAATGCATTTTTTTTTTAATATCCCTTTTTTCTTTATTTATTTATTTTTTTTTTTTTCCTCAGTTCAAAAGAAATTGAAGAAGGAGATCGGATCAATCGGGATGTACTTCAAGGACTTCCTTATTATTATAAAAAAAATCGACCTTATATTTATTGGAAGAGTCAAGTAGAGGTAGCTCATCAAGAATACTCGAAGCTTGATAAGAAGGAAATTTATAAATGGTCGAATGAAAAATTTGATCAATTAAGTAATCTAAATAAGATAATTGCAAGTTGTTCAGTACCAAACCGATCGGACTCATCGAAAAAATGTCAAAAAAGGTTGGATTCTTTAATGAACCAATTATCATTCATGGTTCCTAATGATGCACATAGAACTCAACTTCAAGTAATAGTACAACTCAAAAGGTGTCCCACTTATAAAAAATATACTTCTAATCAAGAAGCAAGGTTAGCGATGAGTTTATTTAATGAGAACCACTGGATTCGCTTCCAAAACTTTATAAGACAAGAATATGAGGAGAAACGCATATATGCCGCTTCAAGGGCACGACGATTTGATATATTTCGCAAGGTAGGAAATATTGTTTCCGTGATTTTTATTCATTATTTTTTCCTCCCTCATATAATACAACCTCTTTAACATTTTTCCTCCTAATTAGATACATTCAATGATTCCAGAGAGATTCTCCATGAATGATCCTTTGGTTCAATATCTTCCATATTGCCTATCTTTCAAAAAACCACCATTTCATAATCTTGATCCTACAATACCTTGGAGAGGTAATTTCCTTGAAAATACATTAATCCCTACCCTTTGTAGGGAAGCAGAAGCAATCGCAAAAATAGGAAAGTTGCAACCAATTACAACGCCATCGGGCGTATTTAAATTATTGGTAAATCGACGTGTTTTCCGATGCAAGTTATGCGTAGAGGCTCGCGCTAGAAATGATAAAAGACAAATACCAACTAATAACTATGGAACGGTTCAGTCGCATTTAAATAATTCACATGGAATCAAGAAAGTAGTTGAAAAGAAAATGTTTACGGTTGATTATTTGGCAGTTGGCATGAGTCTCCTAAAGCGAGATTCTGAATTAATTTGTTTCTTCTTTCCACTTGATGGCTAATGTAATTCTTTTTTCATTTTTTTTTTTTCATTTTTTTTTTTGGATGTCAAGGGCAAATATGCAAATAATTATAATGTATATACAGTGTATTCTTTTTTATTTGTAATTTTATTCATTTTTTTATTTTTATTTTTATTTTTTTTTTCGCTAAAAAGAAAATCTTGAAATAAATAATATACACTATGCGAAAACGCTTTATGTTACTTAAAAAAAAAGCAGAAAAAAAAATTTTTTGACTTCATGCTTATAATCATCATTGTAAATATCAAAGTACTTATTGACGATTTAAAATAGTCACTGCCAGAACTTGATTGACTTATGAATCAAATCACATTAATCACATTACTTTCTTTCATTAAGCCCCTACTGATCAGGTTTATCGACGTTATCCCTTTCATTTAACCCTAAACTAAGTTCTTTTCTATTTCTAGATTTCTTTAATTCTTTTAATTTCTTTTTTTCCTCGCTTATAATGTCGGGGCACCATTCTAATACATCTAATCTAGTATTATCAACAAATTTTATTACTTTTTCACCTTGTTCACGCATTAAATCTTCAATTGTAGTTTTACCATCCCTAAACCAACCCAAGTGATCTGCTATCAAATGACGATTTTGACACGAAGAACATTGTATGATAATAACACCGTGATCATAAGCATGCCTTGACATAGTTTTGGTAGAACGATGGGAACATACTTTACATGTGAACGCTATTAAAAGACGAGCTTTCAAATTGTGTTGAGACGACGTGGTGGATAAAGTATCGGAGGAGGAAGTTGATTGAGTGGAAGAATGAGAAGGATCCGAATGAATTTGGGAAGTATTAGGATTAGATTGAAATTCATCTTTGAATGAATATCTAGTTGAATGGATAAAAGATGATGGTATAGATATAGAATTTGATCCTTGAAGTTGAAATCGACCTTTTCTCGGTAAAGTGCAAATCAATTGAGAAATTGCATTTCGTTTTTGTAAGAGTTTAGTGAAACTATGAAACATTATATATTTAAAGGAATTTTTTTTTTATTTTTTTTTAAAAATCAAATAGATGGATTTTCTTCCTCGTCGCATGATTTTGTAAATTACCATAATAAGAACTTACACGTGGATTCGATTCAAATATACTGCGCCACAGAAACCGAATATCTCGGAGTGGTCAAAATCTTGTGATATTATATGTCAAGACTAATACTAAATTTCAAATGAAGTCAGCAAATTCCTTATAAACACCCTCTTGAAAATTTGGTCAGCATCTTTATTTTATATTGAAGTGAAAACAAAATGAATACATTATAATAAATAAATATAATTCATTGATTATTCAATCGGTCATTTATATTATGATTTTTGAGAAGAAGCATCCTTACAAGGAGGAGGAATTGGTGAATTTGGATCTATAGGTGGATGAACCACCCGTCCTACTTTATAATATGTGTGGTGATCACGATAAAATGATGCCCAATTATTAAGATCCTAACATATGAAATGTTAGTTTAATAGTTGATGGAAAGATGAAAATTCTAATTAAAAAAAAAATCACTTCATTTTACCTCAATTTGTTGGGGAGTTAGTCCACGTAAATCATGAGTTAGATGAGTCTGGAAACATCCCGTAACATATGCTCGAGATGCATCTTTACCTGCAAAAAAATTATAGCCACCTCCCTAGGAAATTAAAAATTTTCTTTAGTGCGTATGCCTTATTCTAGTTCTATCGTTAAAGAATAAAGTTGTTTTTAACCTTGCCATAATACATTTCGCCGCCGGTGACATCAAACACTTCACCACTAGGACGTCGATAAATCGAAAGATTTCAATTGAAGATAAATGTAATATTATTTATATAAAGATAAATTAAATCATCATCTTACTTCATAGCAATATATATAGGTAAGTTGGGATCTGATCCATCATATTTAGCCAATTCCTCTTCAGTAAAGATAATTTCTTTTCTCTATTTAAGAAATACTTTGTTAAATTACCCACATCTTCTATTAAAGGATAAATAAATTATAATCATAAAACATTTATAAACATTTTTTTACAAACCGGAATCCAATTTCTCCAGTTAGTATATTTTCCTTCATATCCCCAAATCCAAGTTTCAGTTAAAAAGTATGAAGCAGCAAAATTTATAATAATTAAAGTTAAAATTCCTTTTAATATAATTAAACCTATCGAATCATTTGGTTGGGAACTTTCTTTTTTTAATATATTTTTCCGGTTTTTATCATCATCGCTGACTATTTCGTTGGAATTATTTGTAGCTTTTTTTCTTTTTTGAACTGTCGACATTGTGTGAAATTGGTAAAAAATGTAATCGACCAAATTATGGCTCCGTTATATCTGAATTTATCACATGATTCAAACTGTTGGACATCCTTAAAATGGGGTCTACTAATTTACCCCCACGCTACGATTGGCTGGTATAATTGATTATGCTTATTTATTACATCCCATATCGTGACAAATAAGCATCACCCACCGAAAAAAAATTCTGTCCTCAAAAATATAATAAAAACTTTTCACCCAGTACCCGACCGGATACTAATTTGATATATGTAGTGAAAGTGAAAGTGCACATGATCACTGACCAAATGTATTGATTTACTGTATGACCAGTATAATAAATAGTTATATCGAAAATTTTTTATTGATAAAATTTATAAAATTTGTAGTATTCTATTTATCTTATTTAACAAATGATATAAAAAAGATTTTTAGAGTATATTAAATAAAGTTTTTTTGAAAAGTAAAATTGAAATTTTTTTTTTTAAAATTGAATTGAATTTTTGAGAATATGAGAAATATATAAGTTAAAAAAAAAGTAAATATAGAATATTTATGAAAATAAATCAGGATTTGTATTAGAAATGTTTGATAATCTTTGATATTCTAATATGACATCTTGATTTAACATGAAGGCAGATCTGTCCAGGTGGGAGATTTCAACATTATTTCAAGTAAAATATCAGCTTAGAGCAACATAAGCTTGACCAGGTAATAAGATTTTACCATCTAAAGCTAGAGATACCCTTGGTAAAGTTAAACCTTGAGTCTTGTGAACAGTCAAAGCAAAGCAATTTTGAAGAGAAAATTGAATATGATGGCAATTGTTTACACTTATTTCAAAATAATGGGTATACTTGTAAATGTTAATGTCAATGATTAAGCTTCTAATAGAGAAAGTAATTTGAATATATTCTTCAAAAGGATAGACATCAGTAACCGCACCTATTGTGTCATTACATATATCATATTGAATAAAAAAGTTGTTTAGATATATTACTCATATACTTGGTTGTAAACGAATAGATGGCAGAAGTTTATTTTTAGTTTAAACATTGGATTTGATAGTGAAAGTTCCTATTATATAGTATTTACAATGTCTATAGCTTGTGAGATCATGAACTTATTCGTAGCAATTGAAAGAAAATTACATATAATTCTATTGATCTGATAAGCATTTTCTTTAAATTTAACAATATATGTGTATTGAGTAGAGTATCAGTAGGCAGGTAAAATAAGAATTCTAAATATCGCTGTTGTAACCTTTTTCAAATTTTGTCAGAAATGTTTTCTATTCAGACATCTTCTAGCATAGAGTAAAATTCTTTATCTTAACTTTGACGATGTGAAGTTCTTAAGAATAATAGGTAGAACAAAGATTAGATAGCTGCATGAAATATCTGTTGACTATTAATCAGTGAAAGTTGAGTTAAATCTCTGATTACTATGACATTTAGACTACCAAAGCAAGAGTATTTCCATGAAGGTTAATAAATATGTTCAAGATGAAGTCTAAAAGTTTAGCAGAGGCTATAGACATTTCTTCAATGATGATAGTATTAATTTTCTTTAAGAAGGTTCTCGGTTTATTATTTATATAGTGGCTGACAAAAGAAATGCAACAACTTATTTTTAGCTTTAAATGCTTATAACTTATTAACTACAAATGCTAGAAACATAATTTTTGATTC